TCAGGTTTATAAAGCTAAATGAGAAGGGGGTTCTATTTGAAAATGAGATAATGAAAAAGGAGAATGAGAAAGAAGTAGAGATTATGATGGTTATGATGAAAACACAAGGCAAAATAAATTCAAAAACTACAAAACAGTAGCCCTAAAAACCCTTTCTAATTCTCAAAACTTAAACCAAGCCTTCCTAAAAGAATTAACTCTCTACAAAATGTTCAAAAGTGAAGTAAGCAATATGGTTCCTTGTTATGGGATTTCTAAGAATTTAGAGGGGAATTATATAATGGTTATGGAGTATATGAGTGAGGGAAATTTAAGGGGGTATTTAAAGAAGAATAGGGATAGGGAGTTAGAGTTTTATAATATTTGTGGAAATAGCAAACTTAGCTTCCTAAAACAAATCATTCAAGGCTTAAAAGATATTCATCGGAAGAAATTGGTCCATAGAGATTTCCATAGTGGGAATGTAGTGGTTAATAGGGAAAGAATTTGAGAAGAAGTTATGTGTCGTATCACCGATTTAGGTCTCTCCAAACCTGCCCATGAAGAAGAAAAAGAAGGTGAGATTTATGGCTTGTTGCCCTATGTAGCCCCCGAAGTCTTAGTAGGTAGACCTTACACTCAAGCTTCGGATGTTTATTCCTTAGGCATGATTATGTATGAAATACTTACTGGCTTACCTCCTTATGCCGAATATGCCCATGATTTAAATTTATCTTTAAAAATCTGTCGTGGAGAAAGACCCAAATTTCCAGAACAGGTTAAGTATCCACAATTACTAATAGATTTAATTAAAAAATGTTGAGATAATGAACCTAATAACAGACCTACATCTAGGAAAGCAAGTGAGATAGTAAGAGAGTGGCTTGATAAGAACAATATTTTAAAACAAAGCACCCAATTCTACCAACAATATCAAGAAGCCAAAGAACACAATAAAAACTTGCCAGATGAAATCAGATACCCTATTTACCAATCTGATGAAGTTTGACATAGTAAACCAATAAATACCAAAGAAATCACCACTAAATTACAAGAATATTATGCTAGTGGAGATTTAGAATTAAACTTGGATAAACTTAATATTCAAGATGAACAGGGAGAAGGTTCTCTCCAATCCCACATCCAAATCCCCCCCAAAGATTCAGAAGAGTTATTAAAAGAAGACGTTCTAAGCAAAAATGAAGGAGAGGCGAATAAAGAAATTCAAGAAATAAACAAAGAATTAGAAAAAGTGGAAAAACAACTCCGATCTTATTACGAAAATTCCGAAACGGGTCTTAAAGAAACAATAAAAGAGTTCATTGAAACCAACAAGGAATTTGCAAGAAACCAGGAAAATGATGAAGC